TGGTACCCTTCAGTTACTGATTGATGCGCACAAATCTACTGCACAATCCTATCCTAACCTAAAGTAACCTAACTTAACCCAACCTAACTTAACCTAACCTAACCTTACCTAACCTAACCTAACTCAGCCTACCCTAGCCTAGCCTATTATTCCTGGCCTCTCCTCTACTCCCCTCTACTCGCCTCGCCTCACCTCGCCCCTTTTCGCTTCGCTTCACGTCAAGTCACGTCAAGTCACGCCAAGTCAATTCAGGTCAAATCACGTGAAATAACGCCAAGTTACGTCAAATCACACCAAGTCACGCGAAGACACGATAAGTCTCGCCAGGTAACATCAAATCACGCGAAGTCATGTCACGTCACATCACCTAACTTAACAGCAGGGAATGGTACCCCTCAGTTACTGATTGATGCGGACAAGTCTACTGCGCAAACCTAACCTAATCTAACCTAACCTAACATAACCTAAGCTCACCTAACGTAACCTAACATAACCTAACCTAACCACACCTAGACTAGCCTAGTTTAGCCTGGCCTAGCCTCGTCTCGCCTCGCTTCGCCTCACGTCAAGTTACGTCAAGCCACTTAAAGTGACGCCAAGTCATGTCAAGTCACGCCAAGTCACGTCAAGTCAACTCACGCCAAGTCACGTCAAGTCACGTCACGTCACTTCACCTCATCTCACCTCATCCTACCTAATTTAACAGCAGGCAATGGTGCCCCTGAGTTACTGATTGATGTGCACAATTCTACTGCGGAAACCTATCCTAACATAACCTAAACTAACCTAACCTAACCTATCCTACCCTAGCATAGCCTCTACTCGCCTCGCTCTCCTCACCTCGCCTCACCTCGCGTCACCTTGCCTCGTCTCTCCTCGCCTGACGTCAAGTCACGCCAAGTCACGTAAAGTCATGTCAAGACACGTCAAGTCACCCCAAGTCACGTCAAATCACGCCAAGTTACGTCAACTCACTTCACGTCACATCACGTCACCTCACCTCAGCTCAGCTCACCTAACTTACTGGAAGGGAATGGTACCCCTCAGTTACTGATTGATGCGGACAAGTCTACTGCGCAAACCTAACCTAACCTGACCTTACCTTACCTAACCTAACTTAACATAACCTTACCTAACCTAACTTAACCTAACCTAGCCTAGCCTCGCCTCGCCTCACCTCGCCCGGTCTCGCCTCGCCTCACGTCAAGTCACGTGAAATCACGCCAAGTTACGTCAAGTCAAGTCACGTCACCTCACCTAAGTTAAGCTCAATAGTCACATACGTGAAAACATAAAATCTCACTCTTTCAGGAATTGGTCGATACGGTATATAGTCGTGGTATATATTCCACATATACCACGATTCAAAACAGGAATGTCCAAGTCTTTACCTTCGGAAGTTGACATTATTCGTGGGCACTTACCCATTATATCCTGGTATCATAGACTGCGATTCACCTCTAATTGATCGGGCTGGCAACTACCATTTGCAAAATACAGCCATTCTCATCGCTGTGTCGGTCTCTAAACTCGTACACAGCAACAACTAGAGTACTTCTGGACGGAGTTTCATTAAATTTGACACTGGAGTTTTATAACATTTCTAATATTCTAATTTTAAATTAATTAGTTTCAAAATAACAGATACTTGATGTGGAGGCCTACATGTTTGACTGTGAATTTTTAGCTTATCGTACGTTAGATAACTAGAAAAATATCGTGATATGACGACCGAAAGCCGTTACAGTGAAGTCAGAATAGACGATCATTGCTAGGCAACGACTAGGTAAACACGTTCGCGCGATAATAAATTGGCAGGAAACAATCAAGTAATTTTCGTTGCTATCAACGGCTCGGTAAACACGCCTTCCCATCAATAGAGAGGATGTGTTTTATGCATGGTCCGTGCAAAGTGGTCATTAAGAAGAGTTGAGTTGAGAAGAGCTGAGTGGAGTTTCGGGCCGTCAGCCCCAGGATATGAGCGTGGGAACAGAGGAATTGAATTGAGTTGATAGTTGCAGAATAATAGCAATAAATTAATTAGGCTGTGAAAAGTTGCCTTTATATATTACTCGATTTTCAGTGCGACTGTTATAAATCCGTTGCCAGGACACGACTAGTGATGGTTGAGAACCCTAATGCGTGTGTAATGTTGAAGTGTAAAGTATGTAGAACCTCATTCAGAATAACTCCTGCTAGGTCCGATATTATAACTCAGGATCTCCTGAAATCGACAATTCATTACTACAGAGTGACATTCGGTAAAATGAATATCAGTGGCAAAACTAATGTAACACTCTAGTATAAATATTGCAGATGTAAAACTTGCATTATACGTCGCATTGACTACTGAGTTGTTTTTGTGAATTATTTCCTCTGGTGCAAAGTTTAAATTCCCATAATTTTCTTTCATAGGCGGGAACCCAAGAGCATTCAACTTTAAATATATTGTCACGTTAAGGGGGATTGTGTGTGATTTATAAGACCGATTCTAGATTGGATCACTGGATTTATTGACACCTTATACACACAATTCGGAACTGGAGACAATTACAGCACTACCGCTAATCTACACAATTTACAGTTCACCGTTACACACGGAATAGGGTTCTCGGCTTTCACTAGCCGTATCCTTTAAACGGATTTATAACACTCACTCTCATTTCAAATCACACACGAAGTCTTATTTGCACCACCCAATTCATTTCTTGCCATTTCTTCTCTATTACCTTCGACTGCCATCTGCAGAACTGAATTCATTTCTTGACAACAACTATTCAACCGACCTTCTTCGTCCTTTTATAAACCATCTGCACGGGCAACGCAGAACACAGCCTCTCAGTTGTTGAGAAGACTTCTTTACTTGCCCGTTTCCTAGCGATTGAGGTCCTATTGGTCCGTGCGGTGACTCCCGTGGAAATTTGTTTACCGTGTCGTTGCCTAGCAATGGGTCTATACGCGACAATATTTTTTTTTTAATTTTCAAACCTTTAAAGATTCATAGCATGTAAACGTTATTACCCAAAAGTGTACATTTCTATTAACGAATAAGTTAATATTTTAAAATCGAAAGTAGTGCCTGCGTTATTACGAGTAACGTCTGAGTTTAAAATATACACATGCAAATAATTAGACGTAAAAATACAACAAACAAAAACTCCCTGCCCTGTAGTCCGCACGCGAACTATACTGACCGAGCGACCGCCGCTTGTCGGCGAAGTTAGTACCAACTTCAGCGGATAGAGGGTCTCACGTGGTCAGTGCAACGAATCCCCACTGCCGTTAATCTCGGTTTTCTAGACCGGAGGCGGTATTTCGTTGAAACAGCTCTTCAATTGTCCTCACGAAGCTGAGTGTACCCCGTTCCAGACCCACTACTTCTCAGAAAATTTCGTAACGCTGGGAATCGAACCCGGATCTTTGGATCTGTAGCCAGGAACTCTGACCACTAGACCACAGAGGCGATCTAAAAAAAATTCAGCAAAACTTTATCAAATTTAAGTACTCATTTAGTTTTGTATTTTCTTCATTACATATAATATGACGGCAACAATGGTTCTCCTTTCCTATTGAGGAACGTAATAAGCAACATCTGTCGGGCGTATTCATTTTTATCGCGTTCTGCTAGTCCTACTCCTCTGCAGTGACTCCTGTCGCGATGTAGCCTTTATGACGCTGTTTGGTATATTTCAATGTTGAGATGATGGGAATGTAGTAATGAATGCCATTAAAACTAATGAAAATTGCAACATCGTATCATTCCATAATTGGACCTATTTGTTAAAACGTATTACTGCAAGACACCCACAGAGTGTGCAATTGAACTACGACGCATGGAGCCAGCTATATCCGCTCTGATATTAAGTGCATTATGGATTTAGGTACCTTCCGCTGCATGGTACGTAGCTTCATATGTGAATAATAAAATCAGCTCCAAATGAAGTAGTGAACAAATTTATTGTAACTTTGTTTGGTCCGCTTAAGGAGATATATCCAACGGCAACTTTATAGAACATTAAAGAAAATTATTTATTACGGTTGCATTTATCATTAGGAGTATTTACAATCTATTCCTTAAGAGCTGCGATCATATATAAACTTACAATAATTCCCTCCGTCCTGTGTTAGATTTGTATGTCCATAATTGCCACTTAATTATCAGTTAACTCAGCATTATTTACACAGACAATTTTCTAGAACATTAAAGAATTTTGCGAACTTTTTATATACAACAATTTTTAATCTTCTTCCTCTCTTAAATTTTGATGATATTAACTATAGCTCCTTGTGTTAGATTTCTTCTACTTTATGACATGTGGAGCTACGCGGTAGCGTAGTTGGTTGAGGCACTATGCTACAAGCCGGAAAGTTGCTGGTTCGAGTACCGATTAGGTGGATTTTTTCAATTGACCTAATCCTTTCAGCAGAACTATGGCCCTGGGCTCGACTCAGCCGCTAACAGAAATAAGTACCGGGAATCTGCATGGGGGATAAAAGGTGGCCGGCGCCTAAGGCTGATAACCTTACCGCCATCCAGAAGATGTGGGAGCCTCAACCTCTCACAACCCTATGGGCCTCCACGGCCTGTTACGGGGATAACTTTTATGATATGTGGATATCAGACTTCTCAAGGAACAGTTATAAATGAGTATGGAGCAGTAGTAAGAGAAAACGGAAGAAAATAAAGAACTGCTCTATTCGTAATTCATCTAGAACGAATCTCATACGAAGGGACTAGAGACTGAACCCGAGCCTCTGTGATGAGAAACCGAGTCTAACCGCCTGAGCTATAGCACAGCTTTCTTGAAAATTTATTATTTTTTTTGTAAGAAGAATATTACAGGTAATGCAAACATAGGGCGCCAGCGTATTTTTAGTATGAAATATAAAGTTGCAGGAGAAACATACAGCTAAACATATTGCAGACAAATATACTATTTTTGAACTATTTGCGGTAATAATTTCCCATTACTCATATTCTTCTTATTGTATTGTTTCAGATTTCACATCGAAGTTTGGATAACATCTTTGTCTTCAGCGAGGAAGGGAATGCTGTATCAGTGTAAGGTAGGAGAGATACTTAAATAGAATTAATTTTTTATGATGATGAAGGTACGGTAAAACTCGTTAAAATGGATTCAGTTTCGTTGATAATCTTGATATAATTTTCTTATTTTACCGTATTTATTATTTAAAGGCTGTATGACAAATATATCTGCCACCCACTTTAACATTACAGTATGTATTCTTCCCATAGAATTTACTTATGTGTTTCATATGATTCTTATAACAAGCATCAATTGATTCGCTTAACAGCCTCAAACAGTTTTGTTTGATGTGTTTCCTGTCAGGTAGAATTTTTTAATACTGTGTAGATGAATTTCCATTTTCGCAGCTCTACTGAATAGCATTATGAGTCAGTTGACTTTCGTTTACATCACCAAAATTATTTATAGCAGAAGTAATGACGTGTCTTGGTGTCACTATTTCATCACCAAATAGTCACTATGATTATGTCGCTACCTTCTCTTGAGATTCCACATATTCCGGGAAATCATCATCAGACCCTAGTTTCTTGATTAGTTTAACAGTGTTTCTGTCTTTAAATGGATGCTCTGAAGGAAATCTTATACGATAAGTGATCATTAAAATTCAAAGTAGAAACGGATCATTTGACTATCATGTATCAGTCATGAATTCCTTTCAAATGGGACAATGGCTATCCATTAGAAGAGAAGTTTAAGGGATGCACTTAGCTACTTAATCTAGTAATTGAGATTAGTTCTTTCTAAGGGACCAAGTAAGTAGGTGTCTTCCTTTCTCACCTGAAGACGGAAACAGATCCAGTTTCCGAAACATCGTGTTCTCTAGTACCTAAATTCCGGACGATGGAAAAAGACTAAAACCTCAGTAATTCTGTGAGTAATTTTGCTCTTGCTTTTTTTTTTTTTTTTTTTTTTTTTTTTTTNGCTGCAAGACTCGGTTAAGTAACCAAGCAATTAGCCAATCTACAATATACAAGTCTGTGAAATTTTCGTGCTAATATGCTCAGCAAAAAAATATCATAAATTAAAAATGACAGGCTGTGAAGAGAATCGCCCGAGCATTAGTAAGTCGTGAACCCCTGCAAATGTTTGTTTAGACTACACTCATATCTATCTTGGCGAAGACGTCGCTCAGTAGCGAGTTACGTGTATCCGTGTATTGCAAATTTGAAGCTTCTCGCAATACATTCATTTCTGAATATATCTGTAAGTTTATGAGACATACATATATACAATTTTGCTAACTCGGTTTCAGAAATTCTAAATGCGCGTAATAAATATTTACATCATTGGCACCACTGTGTCCAGACCGGTTACAGTGATCGAACACGTCAACCGTTGGGTACCCTTTACTTCCACGTCCAACAGTCTTGTGTTAAGCTCAAGGAAAGGCCGCGCCATAGCTCAAGCGGTTAGTCGCTGGCTTCCCACCGCGGCGGCCCGGGTTCGATCCCGGGTCTTGTCAAGTAGGATTTGTGATGAACAAAGTGGCACTGGGGCAGGTTTTCTCCGAGTACTTCGGTTTCCCCTGCCAATCTTCATTCCACCAATTGCTCCACAGTCACCCTCACCTATCATCTGGGGCTGATACAATAGATCAGAAGTGGCCGCAGTACAAGGGACTTAGTCCCACCCCACTAGCAATAAAAAAACTCAAGGAAACGTCGTCGCCTTTATAACGCTTCTGTAATCTTTTTTCTATCAGGTTTACTCATTATCTATTTAGGTCTTAAGTTACATACCGTGTCCACGGATAATATGATCAGTTTACTAACCTTTGTTTAGTAAACACGAACGTCATATTGATTGCGAGAATGAATTTCCTGGTGGAAACCAAACTAGGAGCGGGATGTACAATTCGTCACAGAGGAGGCCTTTATCTGTCAGCAAGCAGAGGGACCAGTGCTTTTGAAATGTAAAGTGTGTAAATGACAGACAACATAGATAAAGGCTTTCATCCATTTGTGGAAGAGTTAATAGTAGATTTTTTTTATTCTGTGCTTAACTGTACGGGATGAACATATACGAGTATATATCGAGCGAATGTGAGAAGCTTTAAATAGGACATCATCTTCTGGAACCATTGGAACTCCTCAATAAAGTGTTTTAACTTTAAACACGCACACGTATGTCTCTCTGGCTCTTCAGATTAACAGTATTAAAGCAAAGAAAAATCCAGTGGCCTCATTTAAAATTAGAAACTTGTTATTTGCCCACATAACTTAAAACCTGCAATTTTGTATATGGGGAATAAATTGCGTGAAGAAGATTATTATTAATTTACGATTTAAAGAAATTGTGAGGAAAGTTCGTTTACCTTATTTTGTCCATGGAGTATACTTACGTGTACTATTTTCAGAGCAAACAGTGATCATTTCCTTAGGTAATATTATCAATTTGTCTGTGTAACGGAGACTGCACGGCTGTTTAAGCCATCTGGAAACATTGAGGTACTCGTAGAAGCTGAATATGATACCAATCCTCATTCCAGATCTTTCTTGAATTACATGAGTTAAAATATAGTCCCTTAATTTGTGTATTTCTCGTATTTAAAGACTTTGCTCCGGCAGAGGATATTGAGATACTGACAAAGGGGTGCGGGAAATATTGTGGCCTATAGACATGTAGTTAAGCGGTAACTTTGTAAACAGCAGCCGTTGATAGATAACGGCCGCAACAAACACGCACGCAACGATAGAACAACAGGGTTATGCTACCCGTATGTATTTTACTTTCTGTTCAGTTTCTTGCTTCTCTCATTATGAATACTTATTTGTTGGTTTTTGTCCCTTTGCACGTTTGACTGGTTGGCTGTCGCCAGTTAACTGTTTATTTGGATTTTCCTCCTTTGTGTGATTTTCTGTCTGCTTTTAGGCCAATGTGTGGCCGTTTTTTCTCTTTGCTTACCCGTCTTCTCTCTGTCTCTGTTTTATAATCCCTTTGTGCATCTGTTTCTTGCATAGTTTCTGTATCTCTCTTTGCTTAGCATTCCTTCTTTCTACTACTTTGTATTTCTATCCAAATGACACTTTGCATCCTGTGAGTTTCCGTACCCATTTGCTTAGGTACGAGACACGTTTCTGTAGGTTACTGCGGGTTTTCTCAGCCACATATACGTTCCGTCGCCTGACTTACGTGAGTGGAATTTTGAAAAAGCATCACGGAGTTTTTCTCTTTGCCTTATTCTCACTTCCTAAGACTCAGATTACAAATAAATCAGGTCAGAGACAGGCGACCCAGTAGATCTAGGTCTCTAAGCTCTGAAGCTCATCTAAGCAATATATAAAAATTAAGTCCGTACCTCACAGGGAACACAAAGTTTCCATTGCAAAGACCGACCCGTTAAAACTGTTTGGGGAAATGATCTTCGTTTACTATGGGAATCAAGAGAAATACATAAATTTATTGCGCGGGACAGTGCATGGTTCCTTAACTTTAATCCTGGTGGTACATTTGATTTGGTTCATACTGGGCCGTTACAGTAGCAATATTATAAAAGGTTAAGCAAATTCCTCCAGTGTCACTGATAAACATACACACAATATCATCACAATGCCTTGAATATAAAATCCGTTTCTTTAACAACTACAGCAACGTGCATGAATACATTAATACAGATAGTAACAATTTTTTTAATAAGTTGATTAAGTAACACACAAAAAAGCTATGCTGCCGTAGGTCAGAATATTGATAATGTTAAATAAATGAGTTAATTTGGCTCAGATGCATGTTCTTATTTGTGTAGTCTTAGGATATGATTAACCCCTGAGATTAGAAGATGATAATGAAATTTGAGTAGATAAGAATTTTCGAGGACATAGTTCATATAATTTAAAGCGATATTCCGGCGTTTTTCCTGGAGAGAATAATGAAAAAATAAAGAAAAATAATATTGAAACTGGCATTAGAGAAACGGTTTGTGACGGTCGATCTCGCGTCCAATATCAATACTGAATATTATCGGTTTGTAAAAATCATCTTCTGCTACCAGAGACTTACATTTTACTCCATACAGCATATTTATTATTATTATTATTATTATTATTCAGGAATAAGGAACGTAATGTTAGGAATTACAGTTCTTCGTTGTACAGATCAGTTTTATCACCCTGTTCCTTCTTATGTTTTAGGTCCAAATATTCCTCTGAGCGTCCTGTTTTCTAGGACACAGATCATGATTCATATACATGGACTTTGTGTTTTTACTGTAATTGTTACTTTTTTCTTAATAGAACTGGAGAAGGCCTTGAATTTAATCGTAAAAACGATTCCCCGAATTTAATCTTTTCTGAAATTTTCCTATCGAGAAAGCACTCGGTCGGTAATTCTGAAGCAGCCTATTTCGAATCTCTCATGGTACACCGACTTTCCTAACTGAGTTGTTTCTTAGGTTTTCTCAGTCCCTCCAATCAAATGCTATAATATTAGTAAATTTGTTCCTTTGCTTAATTAAGCACCATGCCATGAAGACATATGAAGGAGTGGAGTTATAGCTTCACCATTCTTGACCTCGAGGCTAATGTAGGTGAGTGGTTAGCTTCACGCCTAGGCCGCTTTATCCCCGGGAAAGGAGTTCCCGGTACCCGTTGGATCGGAGGCTGGGTGGACTCCAGAACCGGCCTGGACGCAGTGGGGAAAATAAAAATCTTTCCCCTGCCGAGAATCGAACTCTCGACTCCCATTGCTATATCGACTGATCCATCCTGACTTATAATGACAGGATTGTGTCTTAAATTGGTTTACAATCCTCTCCTTCCACATCCTTCGCAATTTATCATGCACCAATCAACCTACCCTTCTATAATACGCAATCTGATCCACTGAGACCGTCATTAAAATGAGCCAAAAAGTTACAAAACACTCCTGTGTAATTCTGTTATCGTCCTTCCCTGATCTGTGATGCTGCGTTTTAAAAATATTTTCTCTCGCTTCTAGTATTATGGTCTTCGCCTTCCATTCTGGTATGCTTTAAGAGGGACTGTACTATTAACATCCTGTTGTGTTTGTCTGGCACAGAGCCTG